GGACTCTCACTCTGTCACCCAGGCTGGATGCAGTGGCAAGCTTATGGCCTCTGCAGCCTCAACTTGCTGGGCTCAGGTAATCCTTCCACTTCAGTCTTCCAAGTAGCCGAAACTACAGCAGTCGCCACCATGCCCAACTATTTTTTTTTAATTGTATAGATAAGGTCTCGCCATGTTGCCCTAGCTTATCTCAAACCCGTGAGCTCAGGCAATTCCCTCAACAGCCTCCCCAAGTGCTGGAATTACAGGTGTAATTCTGGCTAACTTCAGTCACTTTCAAAGTACTCTCCATTTGATGCAATACATCTATCAGTATGCTTTTCCCATTACCCAAAGCATTTAAACTCATCAATTTTGATGCCTTTTAGTGCTCCTGCCATTTTTGTTTCACCTCTTCCACATTAGCAAAATGTTTCCCTTTGAGGACTTTTTTCACCCAGGAAAACAAAACAAGATCCCACTGGGGCAGGATCGAGTGGATAGGGATGGTGGGGCACGGGGGTAATGCTGTTTTTAGTCAAAAATTGCTGAGCCCTCTGCATGGTGTGGGCAGGTGCACTTGTAAATCACCCATCATGAAATGGGCAAGCATGTTGAAAGAATCTCCAAAAAAATTAACTGAAGCTGAATCAGCTTCTCACAACAGTGCTAGCTGATACTCTGATGCTGATGGGTTCCTAGAACACTTGCCTGGTGGGGGAAACCTGTACCACCCTCCAAAAAATAATTCCAGTTTTTTTGGGGGCCCCCTTGTATATCAGGTGGTGAAAGATTTGCACGTGCTCAGAAGTTACATTAAACGTGCTCATAGCCAGGCTCGATGGCTCAGCCTGTAATCCTGCGCTTTGGGAGGCCGAGGTGAGTTAATTGCCTGAGCCCGCGGGTTCAAGACCTGCCTGGGCAACTTGGCGAGACCTCCTCTCTACAATAAATAAAAAATCAGCCGGGTGTGGTAGCTAGTGCACGCCTGTAGTTCCAGCTACTTGGAAGGCTGAGGCGGAGGGATCGCTGGAGCCCAGCAGGTCGAGGCTATGGTGGCCGGGAGCGGCCACTGCCCTCCAGTCTGGGCGACAGAGTGAGACTCCAACTCAAAAAACAAAAACAAAAACGTGCTCATACGTCACATTAGAGCAAGATCTTATCAAAGTTTGGGTGTGAGAGTACATATGGTGGGCCGGGCTCCGTGGCTCAACCTATAATCCCAGCACTTTGGGAGATCGAGGCAAGTGGATTGCTGAAACCAAGACCCACCTGGGGAACTTGGTGAGACCTTGTCTCTACAATAAATCAAAAACTAGCTGGGTGTGGTAGCCCGCACCTGTAGTTCCGGTTACTTGGAAGGTTGAGGTGGAAGGATCGTCTGAGCCCAGCAGGTTGAGGCTGTGGTTGCTGGGAGCGTGCCTCTGCACTCCAATCTGGGCAAGAGAGTAAGACTCCAACTAAAAAAAAAAAAAGAAAGTACATCTGGTTATAGTTTACAGAGGAATAATCATTAATCCTGCCAGGTGTTATCTTATGTACAGGAAGAGATAAGGGCTAGAATCTTTTAGCTTATCTTAATTTAAAAAGGTAATGATTCAAGCAAGAGACATGAGACCCTGTGCTCTATCCTGCTTATAGTTTTCAGGGTATTCTTAATGGGGTCTGCAGACTACACTTTGAGAAGCCCTGCTCAAGTAGCTTCCTATGTTTCTGACTTAAGTTGAGTATATAGATCCTGTAGGAATTTAAGGTTTTAAAAATTATCTTCATTAGAATGGAAATTCTATGACACCAAAGACTCTGTCTTTAGCACTCTCACTAGCATCTGGCACTGAATGATGACCAATGTTTATTGGTATATAATATGCCAGGCACTATTCTAATTGCTTTATGAGAATTAACTCATTCAATCTCCAATAAAAACTGTGATGTGATAGGTGCTGTTCTTATATTAGCCACTTAACAGATGAGGAAATGGAAACACGTAGAATCTAAGTAATACACTCACCCAAGATCAAAACCAGATTATATGATCAAAACCAGGATTTGAGCCCAGACATTTTGTTTCTTGAACTTATTTACTTAACATTATGCTAGATTTCCTCTCAAATATTTGATTAATGCATAAATTCACTCCATTTGCTTCAAAAAAACCAAAGTTGCCCTATTTTACTTAACAGTTATGATTATAGAGATGTTTCACACAAACATAAATAGAAAAGAAATAGTTTAATGTAGTTGTCACCATTCATGCAATTGATGTCCCCATCCTGTATCAAAAGCAAAGACATCTTGTGGTTTTTCTCTGATGATCATGATAATTTGTTCACACTGGTTGATGATATCTATCTTCCATTTTTGTGTCTCTTTTTCTTCCAGCACTTTGTAGTTAAACATTTTATATATCATCTCAAACCCTTACTTACTGAGAAATTGAAACAGCTATTTATAAGCTTGAGTGTTTGGGCTACATGAAGTGTACCCATAAAGTTCTATTCCAAGCCGGGCTCGGTGGCTCAGCCTGTAATCCCACGCTTTGGGAGGCTAAGGTGAGTGGATTGCCTGAGCCTGCGGGTTCGAGACCCGCCTGAGCAACTTGGCGAGACCTCATCTCTACAATAAATAAAAAAATCAGCCGGGCATGGTAGCGTGTGCCTGTAATTCCGGCTACTTGGAAGGCTGAGGCGGAAGGATCGCCGGAGCCCAGCAGGTCGAGGCTGCAGTGGCCAGGAGTGGCCAGGGCACTCCAGTCTGGGCGACAGAGTGAGACTCCAATTCAAAAAAAAAAGTGTATTCCAGTACCTAATGTTTCAAGAAAGGAACAATGCATTAATAATCACTTATTTTTGTTACAGGTATAGTGAACTAGATTTCTTGATTGGAGTTCACATTGACTTTTGTGATTCAGTAATCTCTTGAAATGGGACCAAATTTTGTTTCCCCAAATAATATAACATCCTGGACATAAGGAGAGTAGTTTTTCCTTTACAGTTACTTTCCTTTATGCATCTACTCATTTAACAAATAACTTCCTGAATGCCTACTCAGGTATTGTGGTGTGAAGGAAGGGTACCATAAAGGTCGGTAAATTCTAACAAGAGCAAGTTAAGTTTAGTTGAAGACCTGAAGGATGAGTAGGGTAAAATCAAGGACATGGGGGCTGGTGAAGAGTCAAAACATTCAGGACACTGTATTCTGAGGCTGCTTATTGAACTGAAAGAAGGTTGGTGTGTCGGGAAATAGAAAAAGATGACACTGGAAAGACAAGAATGGTGTTAAAGGCCATGTTAATACCTTTTTTTTTTTGAGTTGGAGTCTCACTCTGTCGCCCAGACTGGAGTGCAGTGG